CATTCACTATTAACATATCTTTAACCCTGTGCCAGTGCCTTTGTTGAATAGTGACTTGTCATAGTTACTGGTTTCATTTTACCACCCTTATCCCTGAAATAAACTTACCCACTAGAAACCATAATCCAAATGATAGTAACTTGTATAACATTTTCAATCTTAGAACCAGTTTATTTGATTTTTGTTGAATGATTTCCAGCGATAATTCGATTCTGTTTTCCTTATGACAATTTATGTTTGATGAATTCTAGGTTTATATAATATATAATAATAAACCTGTAATAAATATTGACACTATTTACCACACATCATGTGTCAGAAAGTTGCTGTTTAACTGTAAGTCATACGACAATCAATGAATTATTTTTATTCGATAGCATTAAAAACAATCGATCGGAATTCATGAGAACTATTATAAAGCAGAAATTGCTGAATGCTGATCTCGGAATGTGAGTATATATTCTTCATTCATTACTACTTAACTACTTATAAAACAAAAGTGAAACTATTGTCATGAAAGGGACACAAACGTTTTCAGGGCTTTTTTTCACTACCTATATATTTATATGAAAATGAAGAAAAATCCAAACATTATCGTACCATTTCCCCTTGTCAGTCATGTAGGTTAACAGTACAAGTTGACATGGAAAAGGCGTTTGAATAAGACAAAAAAAAAAAAAAAAAAAACCAGAAGGTGCGTGTCCTAGTCTGCAAATGTTAAAGATCCTCAATACTTGGAAATTTTCCTCATTGTTTTGCATTGCATCAGTTCAATACATGTGCTACAGACTGCAGGTGTTATGGACATGTCGGCACAGGAAACAGAGAGACATAATCAAGCTAATGTCACAATCTTCTTGTAGGATCTATTTCCTGGTTGGCAGGGGATGGGCATTAGAATCAGAGGTTTGCGCCGTCACTGATCTTACAGAAGTCCAAACAGAAGATTAGGTTTTAAAACTACATTAACCATTATTATCTCTTTACTACGAAAACTTTTAGGAACACCTAAACACCAATATCTTATTTTTATTTTTCTGAATAAATTTTGCATAAGTCGAAATTTCGGAGTCCACAGTTCGAAATTTTAGATTTCACTAGTTTCTATCTGATAAGCTCGCGTCGGAGGGCCCTTAGACTATGTATATTGATATTCCTGGGATGGTGGAGGGGGCATGTGAGGGAAGTCTATTGATTATCTGCGGACATTTTAAAGAATCAGAAACTGTACACGTTATTTCCAGAAATCTGAGAATAAACAATTTTTGATGAAATATTATGATCCGATTTACGAAATCCGAAATTTCGACTAGTGAAATCTGAAATTAGCAAAATATAATCAAAAAAAGAAAAAAAGAATAAGTTTTAATTTAGGTGAGCTTAAAAGGATTTCGTACTTTACAGTCCCTTTAACCACAATCGATTATAAAATTAATAACATATTAAATCTTGTTTTAATTAAGATAAACAATATGATGTCTAATGTATGATTTATAGTTAATATAAGAACAAATGGCTTTAGAGTTCAGTGTTTTTAACTATGTTATCTATATATAAACAAAGTATTTTGGAGGACGTACGTACTATAGTTAATGGAAATTTCTCAAGTATTATTGTAGACATAGAAATTTATCCGGGTTGTTTCTTTATTCCAAAGAAAAGTATTTTGGGCTACCACTTATATATGTAGGCTAGTTACGCACTATGGAGCAAAATTAGCGGACAATTATAAAAACGGTGTTGAATTTGCTGGTCACTATACAAATTACAATGAACTACATGACACATTTAGGCAAGGACCTCGAGAATAACCATGTTACACCGGCTTTGTCGCCGACAAACGTGAAGAAGTCGTTAGAAAAAGTCCTGTAAAATTAAAAACCTTTATCTAGGTCGCTATCGCTAATAACCTTGGGCATATGAGATCATATTTCGTTTCCTAGTCGCGTTTCTAAAAAAATATATGGGCTTGGTGTACTTCATTTGTATTGCGTTTATGGAGATTCTCGATTTCGTTGCAATTTGCAACGGAAAATATGCTCTAGTCTAATTTTCCTTCGCCGTTAGCAGCTCAGTGAGGACGCCATTGTGACAGAGCTAGTACTGTCAAAATCCCTTATCCAAACACTGAACTGAGCGATATTCTGATGCTATACTATTATTAAGAATAATGTAACCGGGTACAGGTTAGGGGGTACTTAATTTTCTTTATACTGCTGTGGTTTGAAGCATTTGGTTAAGTAAAGGGAGGTAATAATCTTCTGCTTTGAAGATTCATTCCGTATTTTATGCTGTGTAAAAAAAGGATCTTGTATTGAAATTAACTGTGTTATTTCTCTCTTCCACAGGTAAAGTTTAACTTTTATTTATATTAATTATGTATCAAAATGTGCATTAGTCATCCATGTTTATAATAAGAATAAGTGTTGGCGGTGTTAATTATTTGAGAACTTAGTGTATTGTCTTGATGGAATTGAACATGTTTGTAATACGTTTAGGTTATTTCCCACATTAATATGTATAAGCCATTTTGGCGGCAAATCCTCTTGCTTTTCATGAATATTGGTCACGTATTATGTCATTCACACTGGTGTCTGTAATTTGCCAATTTGCCAACTTCCATACTCAATAATCTTGTTATGTAAACATTGTCAAATGGATTCCGTATTTTATGCTGTGTAAAAAAAGGATCTTGTATTGAAATTAACTGTGTTATTTCTCTCTTCCACAGGTACAACCTGAGCCCAACCAAACCTTCTTATCCCATAAAATAAATTTGTTTGTTGACAATACCGGGGTCAACAATAACTTTATATTATAGCTACCATAAGTATAATTTAGAAGTTATTTTGGCATTATTGACTAACACGTGTTTAAATGTTTCATTTTTATCGGATTGAAGACAAGGTGCAGCGACTCGTCTCTTTAACTTTCAATCATGGATGCACATGGCTTTAAGTAGGCTCAGATTTCGATGGTATGATGGGAAGACGGTAAGCTTAGCTATATTCAATGCTTTCCTTTAGGTTAGTGTTGACTCATAACGATTTTCTGTTTACTCTTATTGAATACACATTGTTAGTTTAAATCTCACCTGAGCATTGTATAAATATAATATACATTTCGTGACCATTCGAACGACGAGATGCTTTTCCCTTCTCACCAAAGCCTGTTACTAGCTGTCAACTGCGACCAGATGCAGTTTTTATTTGAAGCAAATCATGATCAACTAAAACTAGAGATTGATCACATAGTAACAAATGTCATATGGTGCTATCAATCGTTGCAAATTGAATCTAATCTTCCCTTCAACTCTCTTGCCAACCTCCCCCAAAGTTAACAAACAATTTTAAGGGATAGGGTTTGTTACAAAAGGAAAATGACTATCTTGTACTATCGATATGTTACCATTAAAAAAAACATGCAAAACGCCAGTCCAAAAAGTCTAAAGAGACGAAATCAATCAGATTGACAGAATAAATAAAAGATTGAAAATTAAAGTTTTATGTAATTCGTTTATAATGATATAATTGCATAAAGAAGTCCTAACCAAAAATATAACAAATTTTGTATTTACAGTCTATATAAGTTTTGGAACTACCGTGAATATTGTAAAATAACTTTTTGAGTCGACTTCAGAAAGTTCTAATCTAGTTGAAAATAAGATTCATGTATGATATCTTTTAATAGTAAAAAATCTCTTAAAGGTTCTGGTAATGAAAGCTTTTTCACTTTCTCCTTTATTCCAAGTCCTAATTTCTGTCGTATTATTCTTCTACACCGCGACATTAAAGTATAGTCACCAATTCTTTGTTCAACCAATTCAACCACATCCTCACTCGAGTTTTTCACGAGTTCGCTTTTTGGAGCACCACTTTGATATAGGAGATCCAAAATATCAAAATAATCTTCATCTCTAAAGATGGGTGGTGGGTCAATACCTTTAAGAAAGAGATTATTTAGAGAGGGATTATATGTCAGTATATTATAAACCATCCATTCATCTCCTTCATTATGGCAGTTGTCTAGAGAGCGTGCTATGATATGATTACCACTGTCATCTGGAATATCTAACAAGACATCACCACCATTTTCCAGTACCAGAGTCAAACAATCATTAATCCCCAGCCATGATAAGCGATTTTTCAAAAGTACCTCGGGTCTTGCCCCCGCTTTTAATATTGCTCTTGTCAAGTCAACATGATTTCTCCTAACTATCTTTAAGAGAGCACTTCCACCATCATTATCCATGGAGTTGACGTCACATCCCTTATCTAATAAAAGTTGAACCAAATTTATATTCAGATTACCGAGAGCCATGATCAATGGCGTGTGTCCTGACTTGCTCTTTTGATTAATGTTTTTAACTTTTCCCAAAAAAATTAGATAAACATGCCATGGTAATCGAGTTTCAGCGGCTAAATGAAGAATATTTTGATCTAAATAACCGATGAAATCTTTCTCGATATCAGTTTCTATTAAAAATTTAATGCATTCCAAGTCAAAGATCTCAAAAGCGGAAAGAAGCAAATTGTATTCATTATCTAAGGTCATACCGCGATCCATCAACAACTTCAAAACAGATATTTTTTGGTTGCTGTGATTTGTCTCGTCCGAGTCATCATAGAATTCTAAGCAAAAATTGCCCGCGCTTTTACCCTTATTATCGCAAGCATTCACATCTGCACCATAATCGAGTAAAAGTTTTACAAGATTCAAACAGAGTCTTGCAGATGCATGCATTAATGGTGTATTTGATTCGAAATCAGAAAGATTTACGTCACATCCGGTGTTTAGAATTTTCTCGATAAGTTCAAGGTCACTTGAATACGACATAATAACCAAAGTTAAAATTGGTATTTTTATACTTCCGCATCGGACATCGATGTAACGTTTGTCTAAATTCAAATCCAAAATGTAATCAAATACCTCCCTTTCCTTTTCAATGGAAGCAGACAGTGGCGTTTCACCTCCTTCATTCGGTAAATGGGGGTCGGCTCCCGCTTCGATTAAACGTTGAATACATTTCAGAGTGAGGGCAACATCTCTGCCTATCATACCACAAAGAGTAATTAAGGTTTCAGTAAGGTTGTAGGCGTCCAAACCAACTCCCTGATCTAACAAATAAAGAATCGCCTCGACATCTTGAGTTTCGGCAGCAAGTGTAATAGCCATTGTACATGATTTGATGTCGGCACCAGCCTCAATTAATATTTTGACACAGTCCAATTTCTGGTTGGCTTCTTCAGAAGTTATACTTTCATCCAAACACCAACAAATTGGTGGAAAATGCTTTTCAAATATATCATAGGATTTATCAATTTCGCTCAAAAGCTCTGGGTACTCAAGAGATTTCTTTAAGATGCTGGCGTTTCTAGTCATCGCTGCAAAACTTAACTGATATTTAGGATACTGCATTTGTGGCAAAGTCATTACATGCTTCAAAATGTTCTTTTTATCATGTTCAACACAGTAAATAAAAGCACTCCAAGGATGAAAAGCAATCGTGAGTAATTTTAGACCTTGGGATAGTAAGAAATCAACACCTTCCACGGATTCTGTATCTAAAACACGACTCATATATAGATAGTTTCTATATTCTTTTATTCCTTCATCGGGTATTTCCAAATGTTTCTTATTAAAGACCAATTTAAGGATGGAAATAAAGCCTTTTTCTATGGCCAAGAAACAGCAATCCTCGTGGAGATCTCTGTGAATGCCACCTTGACGGTTAAATATTTGAACCAGGTCTCGAGCTCTTTCAATATCACCATCTTCAACAGCTTGCAGCAGTCTAGAAATAGAAATTAAAAGAAAGTTCGTCATATGCCATTTTGGCATGAATCGTAATGGCTTTGTTAATTCTGCGTTTATAAGGACGAACTTCCCCAGTTCCTAGCCCGAAGCCTTTGGCCCTACTTTGCTCCTCATACGTGTTCTATGGTTGTGATATGGACACGGATAGGGCCAGACACCAAATAACGATTTATATAGGAGTTGCACCTACCGGAAATAAAAAAAATGCGCTAATATGAGTATTGTTAAATTTAAAGATAGCAGATTTTCATACTACAAAACGAAACTCATCAATCAAATTATAATGAAACGAAACAAATAAATATTTTTCTTCGCATTTCCTGGTTCAAATCATGCTCAAAATAACAATAATCCATTCCGACCTCCACAAGTAAAATGGCTTGTACTGTCAGTGGTAATGTAAAATTCAAATAGACTTAATCTTATCGTTTATTTTAATTGCATTCCCAGTCCACCATACATTTTACATAAATACACTGTTGCCGGCACATGCTTCAATATGAGTAAAGCCTTTATCTGTTTCCAAGCATTGCAAATACTGGAATTTTCAAGAAAAATTCAAAATTTGAAGAATGCAGGTAACAAATCCTCAAGAAATCTCCATAGTAGACCTTCTCTGTGAATTAGGCCGGACACTTGTGGCTCAAGTGGTGGTTTATAGGTCTATTACTATTGGTCTACAATGTATACGATAATAATGAAAGACTTACCTATCGTCAGAACTATCGTTACTGCCGTAATCCATATTTTACTTTCGTGCTAATATAAGACGAATATACAAATATGTAATCTGTAATATGGTATAGTAATTGAGTGGATTAAGACCTGTGTGAATGAAGTACGATTGACCCAGATCATTTTAGATATGGTGGCCCAAATGTAACATGTAAATTTATACCTTCGTGATGTTCAACAAAGAAAACTTCGACCTGTTTAATTTTATTGCGTTTCATATTATTAATAACCTCACTCGGAAAAGAATATGACAACATTCTAAATGCAAGTCATAAAGTTCTGTGTTCGAAATCAGAACAGTGGAATATTCACAACATTGTCATTGATTAGGAACCTTGTATGACGGTAAAACATTTTTCGAATCGCCCAAAGTTGCAGTTCACTTGCAGTGCCACAGCGGGGGGAATTGGAAGACACACAATGATTGATTTATTTTTGGGAGGAATAGACCCGGAAGAACTCTTTCGGGGAGGAATGATCTCACTGGGGTTGAGAATCACTGCTCTGAATGTAATAATTATAACCCCTGTGCTGTGAATATATCCCATAAGTCATCGCACTGCTACGTAATGAACACAGCATGTGATTGGTCGATTTGACTTATATCCTTTTACGGTGGAACTAATTCATAGTAAAAAAAATATCTGAAGTTGTGTCTTTTTTTTTAAATGATTTGGTTTCTCTCTGTTCAACATAATAATTGCTGGTTTTACATGTTACCTTTAGGCCACCATATCACTCTATAATGATCTGGGTCAACTTTACGTTATTTACACAGGTCTTATTATACTCCAATATCACAGTATTTTTAAGATTGCGCAAGTCATATATGACTATTATTATTATATAAATACAAAATGGACGATATGACTAGTTCTGACAAGAGGTAAGTGAAATCTTTTGATTTTCTACACATTAATTGTAGATGGTATGAAATTTTGTGGCCCCTACTCGGCTCCTAACCTAATGATTCCTAAAATCGGCACTATGCCGTAAACATACATATTTAAGTTTTGTGTATGGTGGCCCGTCAATGCAATGAAAATGAACGATCAGGGCTATTCATACAGCCTACTTCAATCAAACAAAGAGTTTCTGTGTGATTTTTATTTAGATTAAGCCTACCCCCCCCCCGACCAGTTCTTTTTATGAAAAATAGATTACATCTATATACTTAAAGGGATTGCAAATAGGTCATACATTTCGCGAGGATGACGACATAAAACACTCAGTTTTAGTGAAATTGCAGGAACCACAGAGACGTCTGATTAAAATTTGGAATGGTTCAAATTGATGCTATCAGTAAAAATTTAGAAAAACCTCTTTACAATCCTTTTAATACATCAATATTTACCGCAATCGAATACTCAATAATTGGCGCCGTAGTTATAGATTTCCTGTACTGTCAATTTTGCAGGTGTTGCGTAACAGTGTTGTGTACAACATAATATGAACATCGTAGAATAGCTGGAACGATCTCTTTGGACACATTAATGGTTCAGTTTTGCAGCGATACAAAAAGTTACAATGACAAATTTGATGAATTGTGAATATTCACAAAAACTATAGCGATTCAAAAATTCGTCGGAATCGTAATATATCGACTTTTGATGTCTGACCCTACCTGTGATTAAAGTTTCTAATTCTTACAAAACCATGTCTGTATATGACAATATGTCACATGATGACTCTGTTTTTATCATTTTTATAGACTGCTGCAAGCTGTTAAAGATGGTAATAATGAAATAGCTAAATATATGGTTCAAACGATAAAACGACAAGGTGGAATGGGCTTTGAACTCCACGATAAATGCTGTTTCCTGGCCATAGAAAATGGTTTTATTCCTATCCTTAAATTGGTCTTTAATAAGGAACATCTGGAAATTTCTGATGAAGGAATAAAAGAATTCAATAACTCGGTATTTATGAGTCGTGTTTTAGATACAGAATCCGTGGAGGGTGTTGATTTCTTACTATCTCAAGGTCTAAAATTACTCACGATTGCTTTTCATCCTTGGAGTGCTTTTATTTACTGTGTTGAACATGATAAAAAGAACATTTTAAAGCATATAATGACTTTGCCACAAATGCAGTATCCTAAATATCAGTTAAGTTTTGCAGCGATGACTAGAAACGCCAGCATCTTAAAGAAATCTCTTGAGTACCCAGAGCTTTTGAGCGAAATTGATAAATCCTATGATATAGGTGGAAACACGTTTCCACCGATTTGTTTGTGTTTGTATGTGAATCTAAGCAATCAAAGGACCAACCAGGAATTGGACTGTGTCAAGTTATTGATTGAGACTGGTGCCGACATCAAATCATGTACAATGGCTATTACAGTAGCTGCCCGTTCTTACGATATCGAGACAATTATGTATTTGTTAGATCAAGGAGTTGGTTTGGACGCCTACAATCTTACTGAAACCTTAATTACTCTTTGTGGTATGTTGGGCAGAGATGTTGCCCTCACTCTGAAATGTATTCAACGTTTAATCGAGGCAGGGGCAGACCCCCATTTACCAAATGATGAAGGTGAAACGCCACTGTCTGCCTCCATTGGTAAGAAAAGAGAGGTATTTGATTACATTTTGGATTTGAATTTGGACAAACGTTACATCGATGTCCGATGCGGAAGAATGAAAATACCTATTTTAACTTCAATAATTTTTACCTATTCAAGTGACCTTGAACTTATAGAAAAAATTCTAAAAACCGGATGTGAAGTTAATCTATGTGATTTCGAATCGAACACACCATTAATGTATGCATCTGGAAGACTCGATTTGAATGTTGTAAAACTTTTACTCGATTATGGTGCAGATATGAATGCTTGCAATAATCAGGGCAAAAACGCAGGCAATTTCAGCTTAGAATTCAATGACGACTCTTGCAATAATGGGCTGAAACTCATGTTTGAATTTTGCTTAGAATTGAATGACGACTCGTGCAATAATGAAGGTAACAACAAGGGTAATTATGGCGAAGGATTACAAAAATTATCTGTTTTGAAGATGTTGATGGATCGCGGTATGACCTTAGATAATGAATACAATTTGCTTTTTTCCGCTTTTGAGATCTTTGACTTGGAATGTATTGAATTTTTATTAGAAACTGATATCGAGAAAGATTTCATCGGTTATTTAGATCAAAATATTCTTCATTTAGCCGCTAATACTAATACTCGACTACCATTGCATGTTTATTTAATGCTTTCGGAGAAAGTAAAAAACATTAATCAAAAGGATCAGTCAGGACGCACGCCATTGAGCTGGGCTGTTTGCATAGGGAATTATGATTTGGTTCAACTTTTATTAGATGATGGATGTGACGTCAACACCATGGATAATTGTGGCGAAAGTGCTCTCTCACAGATAGCTGAGAGAAACCACATTGAGTTCACAAAAGTTTTGTTAAAAGCTGGTGCAAGACCCGAGGAACTTTTGAAAAATCGCTTATCATGGCTGGGGATTAATGATTGTTTGACGCTGGTACTGGAAAATGGTGGTGATGTCTTGTTAGATATTCCAGATGGCTGGGGTAATCATATCATCGCCCGCTCTCTATACGACTGCCATAACAAAGGAGGTCAATGGACGGTTTATAATATACTGACATATAATCCCTCTCTAAATAATCTCTTTCTTAAAGGTATTGACCCACCACCCATCTTTAGAGATGAAGATTATTTTGATATTTTGGATCTCCTATATCAAAGTGGTGCTCCAAAAAGCGAACTCGTGAAAAACTCGAGTGACGATGTGGTTGGATTGGTTGAACAAAGAATTGGTGACTATACTTTAATGTCGCGGTGTAGAAGAATAATACGACAGAAATTAGGACTTGGAATAAAGGAGAAAGTGAAAAGGCTTTCATTACCAGAACCTTTAAGAGATTTTTTACTATTAAAAGATATCATACATGAATGTTATTTTCAACTTGAATAGAACTTTCTGAAGATAAAAACATTTTACAATATTCAAGATAGTTTAGATATATAATCTGCAATATAAATTGTTTAGGCCTACGTCATATTTAATGATTCTGACTTCTTTATGCAGTTTTACGAGGAAACACTCTTTGTTTTATACAAAAATTCCATAAAATTCTCAGTCTTTTATTTTATGTGTATATGATTGATTTCGTGGCTTTTGCGCTTGGGTTCCAATTCCGGTTAGATCGGTAACATATTGACAGATCCTTTTAAATCATTGTCTTTAGACACTCCAGATTGGCTTATTACTTATTAAGGGGGAACGAATAGATAAATATTGCCGTCAGCAAATGCAGCCTATATATCAACGATTGATAGCACTAAGTCAGATCTGTTCGAATCTGGTTCAACAATTTACATAATATGACCTCTTTTTTGTCGACAAACTGTTGACTTTTTACTATTAAGGGGACTATTAATATTTATTTAATATTTGATTCAAGTATATTGAATTGTTTAAAGATCCTTCTTTAACCATTTTGGTTGTATATGTATATAAATATATAGAATGGTCATGATAGACTTCAGCGGATATTGTTCGTAGAATGGTCCCCCATCGATACACATCTTGCAAAAGGTTAAATCGTCGTCATAGAACTTATAACTGACTTTTTCATGAAATTTATTTTCCAAAAAACAAGGTCAAAACCTCACAGCAGAAAGGTCATGTCCACAAAATAGGCCCTTCGTTGTCAATTAATAAACCTTTTAATATACTCGTAATATTTCGAAAAATATTAGATGTATACGTTTATAATGAGTGTACACGTGCGCATTAAAAAAAATATCTAAATCTATAATATAGGGAAAAAGCGGTTTTTGGTCATGACTACTACCACTTATGACCTTATCAGCTCCATGATATCGAAATTAAAAGGTTTAGGAGAAAACCTATCTACCCATTAGAAAAAAAACAAAATTTTTATATATTATTTCATTTTCTTGGTTTTTCGATCTCAGAAAGTTTCTGTCAAAGACGTGGTTACAAATTCGGCCAATCTAATGTTCATTAAAAGTTAGGCCACAAACCAGCAATGCATCTTTAACATTTCTATTGATAACCTTATCATTGAGTTGAATATGTTTAGTTAACTTTACACTAATTCACATTTACATATTAGCTTTCTCAATAGCAAACATGGTTGAATATTCTTAACTATACGTAGGCTAATTGGAAATATTATATTAATGAAGAAACGTAATGGAAATGGGATTGCAAAAACGAGCGAAAACTTTGGAAAGTTTTATTTTTACAGGCGTTCTGAAAACAGAGAAGCAAAAACATTTTGACAAGGTAAAATTATTATTACACATAAATACTGATAAAAATAACACACGACCATAATCAGCAATGTGGTCTGTTCCATATAAGTAATTGAGCACATATTTGAATATGCTATTAGATGTTCCTCTTCAACATAAAGCTAAACGACTGAATAATGACCCAAAAGGTATTATCTTTGTATACAGGTTTGTATGATCCTATATTTAAAATCAGCTATTGTATAAGTATTTGATTTAGTGTAGTCTCTTATTAAATACTTCGTTCATCGTTCAACAAGTTTTAATTCTTTACATAAAAAATATCTGCCTGTTTACACTCAACTATGAACAATGTAGGTCTATAGAACTGATAAATCACAACAACACAGTTGCGAGGTGTCAACACATCCAGTTAGGCTGAGTTATCATACACTTCCATAATACAAAATAATGAAACCAAATTGCTATAGCTAGTTCCTAACCTTTCATATTCTACATACGTATCGCCTCGCTACGTTTCGATGCTGCTAGTGCCTTTTCATCCACCTTAGCACTGTAAAGAGAGTCAATAATATTACCATACTCCATGAATTATTTGCTCGGCAATAACATATTTTCTTTAAAGGGGCAGTATACAAAATCTTCATTATCAAAAACGTCGTAAATTATGTAAGATTTGAACGACATATAGAAGCGAGGAGCACATATTATAAAAAACACAAGACAATATTATGGAATATAACACACTTCTTACCTTTTAACCTTATTAAAGAAGTGTGTTATATTCCATAATATTGTCTTGTGTTTTGTTATGTCGTAAATCATACCTGAAAATATTTCTAAAATATCAAAATCTATGTAGACACTATTGATCGACCTGAATTTGTTTAAAAGGGTTGATTAAACACGGAGGGTACTAATTGTTAAGTAATCAGCTTAAACAAGTTTTGGTGTTTGGCATCATAAAGACTCGACATTTTGTTGTTTAGTTGAAACCTTCAGAATACGTAGGAGACATATTCTCTTCATTTATAGTTTGTTTTTTTTAATCTCGACCTTTTAAAACGAGTTAAAAAATTTAGGACAGTAATCTTAAGTTAAAACTTTCAGACAAGTTTAGGACAGCATTTCTCGAGTTTTTGATGTATCGTTTTCATAAATTGAGCAGAACATTTGATATTAGGCAAAATATATATTTTTTTGCAGTCGTATTGAAATATACATTGGGTATGACAATAAAGGTTCAATTATAGAAATATAAACGGCCTTAATGAAATTTGAAACGAAACTTCCATATTAATAGTGTCAAATTCAGTCAAGTGTAGATACACAAGATATAATATTTGATATAGTTACATTATAAAACAATATAAAATAACGACAGGGTTTTATTTACTTTAACATGTCGACTTTACAGGTAGGTTACGTTATACCTTTCCAAAACTCTTGTGATTTCGCTTTAGATTTCTGGACGTTTTTTTTTTGTTTTGAGTACAATTAACCACTATATGCTATGTATGAATTTGAATAATGGTCTATCAATGGACACCACATCGCCCATCTGTATTATGGTTTGTGACAAAGAGAAACGCAACATGCACCTTCACGAATAGTTGTATTTATATCATTTACATCGACTGTTAATAAGATAGGAATAAGAACATATCCTTGTTTCACCCCCGTTTATGAAACTCGACATACACTTCCACGAATAGTAGTATTTATATGATGGATAACGACTGTTAATAAGATAGGAATAAGAACATATCCTTGTTTCAGCGCTGATTATCAGACTGGTAAGTCGTCAAATGTGATGTAATGGCATCTTATCGGTGTTGTGGTTTAATTACCTGTGTATTTACTTGAAAGAAAGACATTCTGTTGTGCGGCTCATAAATGCCTACTGTATAATTTCTCGGTCGTGAATGTGGCATTGTCACATGAGAATCTGATGAAAATGACGACAGTGTTGAATGATCCATGATAGCTATTGGACTCATTTCGAGTCTACCTCATCAGGTCGACTGGACATTGACTTGTGGACTGTGATTTTATGTTGGCTTCCTGTTTGTGATTATTTACTTTTTCTTGTCACTTGATCTCCTTCTTTCAGCAAGTGACTGGTATTCGGGGCTCTAATAGTGCTAAAACGAGAATCACTAGAAGGATAAAGGATAATGGGAATAACAAAGTCAGTAACTCTGAATTGACGGGACTGGAAAACAGAGAGGATTCATTTGATGAATATGGTCACTTATCTCCTGTTGAAGACGAGAGCCTTGGTAAGTTGCTGAAATAGTTAACACCCATCTGTCATAATTATGTAAAAAAAATAATGGAGAAATGTTCTTAAAAAATAAATATCAGGACATCCAGCTTTATTGGATTTAGATTTACCATAATGCTCGTTAACATATAAGCAAAAGTATATAAGCATCTTTGTTTCATCTCATCTCAATCTTTCAGAAAATAAACCGGAGAAGCTTGACACTACAGATATCCAAATGAAATTGTATAAACGAGAATGTGGGAAATTAGGCGTCATACCAATTGGTGCTTTTATGAGGAATCCCTGTAGTTCAGAATTAATAGTTAAGCATTATTCCATGGGACCCAACGGTGCTAAAGCTCTATCTATTCCATTAATGGTAAGACTTAAAAGAGCGAATTAACCTCATAGTTTGATTAAGAGGCAGGGGCAATGTTTTCGCAGAAGTTATAAGACACAATATTCCTTTAAAGATAAAGAGATTAAAAATATGTCATTTCAAATTGCATTGCGTTGTGTCCTTACTGCACTAGAGCAAGAATGCAGTGGAATTAACCTCCATTATTTTCTGTCTGATAAATGAGCAATTCAACTTTCTAAGATATTCATTTTCAGTTAGATTCAAGTTTGGTCCATTTAGATTTAGAAGGAAATGATATTCAAGATAAAGGTCTAGCTGGTCTCAGTGAAATGCTTTTAGAAAGTGTTACAGTCAAATTTGTGGTAAGACAGTTTTACCTAGGAATTCAACTCAGCATGCAAGATACTTTACTAAAGGTATCGAGGCATTTCAGAGTAAAACACAAATGTTTAGATATTGTGATTTTAACGCAGAAATTTAGGTCATTGTAAAAATCCTAAGTAACAGGAAAGGTCAATTTGGTGTTTTTGCCTTATGCATAAAGAAAAAACAACATTAAGCGTTCATTAAATGTATCTTTCTTATTTCAGAATCTATCGAAGAACAATCTAGGTCATAAATCCATCTCCAATGTTCAGTCACTCTTACAGAAAAATAGATTCATAGAAAGCATTTATCTTGCAGGTAAGTCAGTTTTTCATGCATGACGATCGTGGAATTCTTCTGTAAATGCTTATTTTGTTTTACCTCGTCAAATGTATTAACTGACGATATTTACTTGCATAAATTACATGACGATATTTATATGTTTCGATTACCTGGTGATATTTACACGTAACAATTACATGTCGATATTTACTATCAATAAATGACGATATTTACATTTATTAATTACACAGCGATATTTATGTTACATGTCGATATTTACTATCAATAAATGACGATATTTACATTTATTAATTACACAGAGATATTTATGTTTTAATTTCCTGGGGATATTTACATGTATCAATTACCAGGGGATATTTACATGTTTCAATTACCTGGTGATATTAACATCGATCAGTTATCTGGATATTTACATTTATCAATTACATGGCGTTATGGACATGTATCAATTACACGGCAATATTTACATATTATTTCAATTACCCGGCGATTTTACATGTATTAATTACATGTCGTTATTTACATGACGTATCATTACAGTATTTACATGGCGATATTTATATTTTTCAATTATCTGGGTTTTTACATGGCGATATTACATGGTATCATAAAGGTAAGTGTGATTATGATGGCGTATTACAGCATGATAAATATTTATCATGATTCTATAAACTATTGTTTTTATTCAAACAGATAATGGATTCTCGGACGTAGATGCTTCAGCTTTTTCTGAAATTTTAAAGGTAGGCCTCTGTGTGTTTCTTTATCTTGCAAGCCTTCTCTTCGATACTTCCATAGTTATAATTATAGGTCGGGTGATCTCAGACGGACATAGTCTTCATAATAACTTATATTCTTCATGTAATACGTAATCATGGTAATGTGTTTTTCTATGAATTAACGCATTGAAATTTTTCTTCTCCAATCACTCGATTTTATGTTGATTTACACAGATCTGTATGCTTTTGACAGGAAAACAAGACCTTAAAGAAGTTAGTATTGTCCAATAATGATTTTGGGGATGAATCTGGATTAGTTTTCGGAAACGCTTTAGGTAGGTCTTAAAATTCTGGTGCCTGCACCTGTCCCTCCGATAGTCAGCCTGGTGTCGGTTTAAACCCTTAATACAAATATGGATTCCATTCTCACATTCTTAAAATATATTTTGTGTCTACCGGCTCTCGGGACCCTACCAACCTCCTACAAAGGCCATTTATTGAATGACGTAATAATCATATATAAACATATAAAAATAATAACATATTTAATTTAAACAAAACATTTGTAAAAATGAATAATTGATATAATTATCAAAACATTAGGAGTTCAAACCCGCAATCCATAATGTATCATGATTGTTCAAAAAATATTCATATTACATCTATAAATTAATAACATATAACAATATTGGAAAACAATGTGTTCAGGGCAGGGATGGAGGGTTTTTCCAAAACAGTCTGGTCTTACCTTAATTGATGGCGCGAAAGCTAGGAACTACCCCTCTTTGCCCAGATCGTAAAAATATACATTTATCTCCCCTTCAGATCTCTTCTCTACTTTCGTTTTTCAAAGAATCCGTCGATACCCAATGTAATCTATATTTAATTTTTATCTGTTCATGATAGTTTTGATCTCCTTTGTGTAACATTTATTTCAGCAATAAATGAAACATTGGAATATTTAGATCTAAGTTGGAACAAATTTAGAGGTAAAAGTGCAGCTGATCTATTGAAAGGCATCAAGGTTTGTAAATATCTTATCATGGTGTAGATGAAACATACCCTGGTGTGTATTGCGGAACCTTGTGACAGGTGACAGTGACATTGTAGAATACGCGGAAATGTCATTATGATCACAGCTCAGCTTGGTGAAGATACCAAAAGTTATGCCAAATTTGGCTTTTGTCATGGAAATAATTCTAAAAAACTAGCTATCCAAAAGTGGACCCTTTGAGTCTGGCCCCAACCAGATGGTCAAGGGTTCAATCACGGCATAGGTCGAGATTATACCTTCGGATTTTTCAATCCGGTTTTTCCATGTCAATGAGGCAGTTAAGGCGTGGAAAAAGCGTTTAGCCGTTCGGATGGAACAATAAACCGTAGTCCCGTGTGCTACAGACTGCGCATGTTAAAGATCCCTCGGTTTGAAATCGAAAAATAGCAGGCTAATGCCGCGCCCTGACAAATATCCCTCATTTCACCTGCATGGCGTTGCCCGTCTTTATTAGCCCACATGTGCCAAAAAGAAACTCCATTCATTTTATTTCCCAACCGTGAAGACATCACATCTGTATATTAATTACCACGTAGGATCAGATTAGTCGGGTAAATCATGGTGTATGGTTGAGATTTGAGATAAGTTCGACCTTTCATGATGCTTCAGAGACTGCTGTATCATTTTATTGTAATGAAACTGTGTACATGTTTAGATAGATTAGTAATAAACTACGTATCGTTCTTATAATTTCATATAGAAAGAGATACGAAGACGAAAAATTGTTCAACTCTTTAGCCTATATATTTACGTTCGTTACAGGAAAATGTCAGTTTGAAATATTTTAACCTATCCTATAATGGGTGTGGAAAAACAGGCGCTATAGAAATAGCTTCAACATTGGTTACCAATTCTACATTAGTGGAACTTGATCTTACAGATAACAGATTGACTGATATTGATGTTCAAATCATTGTTTTTCAACTTGATAAAAACGAAAGTCTTCAAAAACTCAGGGTAGGATTTGTATGTTTATAGTTCCGCTAATCCGCTTCAATGCCATATTATTGTATTATCCACACAAGAAATGCCAATTGGGCTATTAATCCATTGTAAATATAGAATTAAAATATAACTCCCTTCAAACAATGCATAAATATTTGATGTTTGATCACCAACTTGATTTCACATTGGCCGTAAATGAAACACTTGCTTTATTAGGCTACATCTTATATTTCAAGAAATATAATGGATCTAAACAATAAGTCTGTATTTTAGCTAGGAGATAATCTGATCACAGCCAATGGATGCTTGGAGTTAATCAAAAAGCTAAAAACTATGGAGAACCTGACTTTAAAAGAACTTGACCTAAAGGTAAACAATAGTTGTAAAGAATGTGTAATCTGTCGAGTATATCTAGGCTACATGTATATCTGTCATTTTATTTTCTATAAATGTTACTTAGTTATTTTTTGCAGTCCGTTTGAACTTCGATTGATTCGACATATGTTTATAAATAGGAAAGGAAATAGAGTTTTACTTCCTACTTTTATCTACGTAGTTGAGCTAATGTAAAACGGACAAACCCATGTGGGTGTGCAACGAGGGAACATTTTGTCAGGAAAGCCAATTTATTTTTTTAGATTTTCAACTGTTAATATCTTTAACATGCACAGTCTGTAGTACAGAGGTCCTTATCGCCAAATCCGAACGACTAACTCTTTTTCTATGTCAGCCTTCTTCAATCAAGCCTCTATAACACAATAGTTTTTCAATTATCTTTCAGAATACAAACGTTAACCAGGAATTTCTTAATGAAATTGAAGAGTACATGAAACTTGAAAACCCGATGCCAGAAATAAAATATGGAATATGCCCCACTAAAAGAGATTTCTTGTAAAAATAATGTTATTTAGTATTTTGGTGTCTTTTTAAGAAATCCAGTTAACTTTTTACTGTTTCACAAAAACAATTTTACGTGGTTACCTCCCTTTTATCATGTATCGTAAAGCTGAATATTGAGGAAGTTTTAGAAATTCTATCCCGGATTCATTAGATCCAGTTTCTGATAGTTGTAATTATTTGAATAGGTTCTGTCAGATTTGACAGGGTGCATTGTGAAACAAGCACGTAGGAAGGTTTTGACAGTGACCATCATATTAAACGTGGCAACATCTAGTGAATCGTAAATAAAGTGAGTGTTCAGAAAGTCGGACCATGGAAAGGAACGTACATGATATATTCCCATCTTCAGCATTTCACCATTTAGGAAAACATTTGACATTTGAATCATATCCGGTCCATATAGCATTGCTCTATATTGATGCCAGTTATGTTAACTATAGCAGTAGCTTACTCGACAAAATGGACGAGTCCATTGATTCATTTCGGTCACATTATATACATCTATGATCATGACAAGATGCTTAAGTTATAGTTTGAATCTATTTTTGCTTTGAAAATGACAACAATCACCCAGACTAAAAAGCGAGCTGGGATAGCCTCGGTACCTTTCTTTGGGAGTAAATAAGTTAAAACTTTTTACATTTTACATGGTACCGTTGGGTCACCGTATAAATCTATAATTGATTTAGGTCAATTGTGCTAGACTCCCGGATACACCACAGAAACACCACAGCCCTTTAAAGAATCATATTTGTCATTTGATAATATCATATCATATGAAAATAACTGAAGATGGACGAAGATAGTTATGATATGACCAGTTCTGACAATAGGTAAGTCTCGATTTTGTTTACTTTCATTCGGCTACAGACCGATGATAATGCGATAATGGCGATAATATAATGGCGATAACCAATACTTAGACCTAAAATAGGACTATTCCGTACTACACACAGTACTTAATCCGGACTAATTGAAAATAAAGTTTACTATATTGCTTTGGGATCTGTTATCTCAAGATTAATCCAATATTTAAAAAAAATATATAATAATTAGCACTCATGATAAAAAAGAAATTCAGTTGATTCGTATTATTATGTATGGTGGCCAAGGAGTGTAATAAAAATAAACGATCAGTTAAAATCAGTCACACATACGTGTTTTAAAGATAGCTTTCCAGGCAAAGTAAACATACGTCCACAGAAGTTAATTTTTTTAAAATTTTTAGACCCAATAAGGACCAACATGAACCATAATGATTAATCTATCAAGATTTTATTCAATACTCCTAATCAACTCCTTACTAAAGACCTTATCGATTTCAATGATCATACAAAGTTTCAAATGGAATGAAAAATTGACTATTGAACGCATGAATAAATTAGACATGTTTTAAGTCAAGGGCAATAACTCAAAACTTCAACAAAAAAATCCTTAAATTCAAACTGTCAAGGATCTCATCAATATACAAATTTCACTTTAATCAGATGGAAACCGTAGTCTCACGAATCAATTTTACGCGTTTTGACTAAGGGATAATAATTCATCATTAGTTCATTGAAAAATCGTAAAATTTGATATAGATCTTATCACTTCCAATGCTTACACCAAATTTCACCAAAACCGGTTGATTGTAGTTTCTATTGTGCCCAAAAACAAATTTTGTCGCGATTTTACTAAGTCGAGGACAATAACTCAAAATCTGTTTATCGAACAGTCGTCTTGGCCGAGATTTTATCAATTCCAATGCTCGAACTTGACCGACATCTTATCAATTTCAATGATGCTCACACCAAGTTTCATCAAAATCCATTGAAAACTGTAGTCTCTGTTGTGCTCACAAGAAATTTTAATGTTGACTGACGGACCGACATTATGTCTCGCTTTGGCGAATTCAATATAGAAAATATCTTCCAAAGAATCTTAAAATCTACATTTTCTGTTTCCTCTCATTTCTTTTTATTCCTTACTCAAATCCCTGTCATTAATACATTGTATTTTTTTTGCCACAATTCTGTCAAGGACTGTTTAATTTGTTCGTACAAACCTGTAAATTGTTAAAACAAGATCATGCGAAATTGTGATTGATGTCATTATTAACGACAAATTTGATGAATTGTGAACATTCTCAAAAACTAGCGACCTAAAAAAATGACCCTGCCCGACAACTCTGGTCCTACCCGTACCGATATCATATCGGCTTATCACGTCCGACAAACTGGGACCAGAGTTGTTTGGCTAGGGCTTATCTGAAACTAGGAAGGTTCGTTTTTAATATTAACAGAACTATGGCTGTATATTACAAAAAGTCACATAATGATGTTTTTATCATTTTTCTAGACTTCTGCAAGCTGTCAAAGATGGTTATAATGACATAGCTGAATATATGGTTGAATCTATAAAAGCTCAAGGTGGAATGCACCGAGAACTCCACGATGACTGCTGTTTCCTGGCCTTAGAAAAAGGCTTTTTAACTATCTTTAAATTGGTCTTTAGTAAGAAACATCTGGAAATTTCTGGTATAGGAATACAAGACTATAGAAACTCGGTATTTATGAGTCGGGTTTTAGATACAGAATCCGTGGAAGGTGTTGATTTCTTACTATCCCAAGGTCTGAAATTACTCACAATCGGCTCTTATCCTTGGAGTGCTTTTATTTACTGTCTTGAACATGATAAAAAAGACATTTTGAAGCATATAATGACTTTGCAACAAATGCAGTTTCCTAAATATCAGTTAAGTTTTGCAGCGATGACTAGAAACGCCAGCATCTTAAAGAAATCTCTTGAGTACCCAGAGCTCTTGAACGAAATTGATAAATCCTATGATATAGGTGGAAACACGTTTCCACCGATTTGTTGGTGTTTGTGTGTGGGTCCAAGCAGACACAAGACCAACCAGGAATTGGAATGTGCAAAGTTACTTATTGAGGCCGGTGCTGACTTAAAATCATGTACGGTGACCATTACACTTGCTGCCGATAATCAAGATGTCGAGGCGATTCTTTATTTGTTAGATCAAGGAGTTGGTTTGGACGCCTACAACCTTACCGAAACCTTAATTACTCTTTGTGGTATGTTGGGCAGAGATATTGCCCTCACTCTTAAATGTATTCAACGTTTAATCGAGGCAGGGGCCGACCCCCATTTACCAAATGAAGGAGGTGAAACGCCACTGTCTGCCTCCATTGGTAAGAAAAGAGAGGTATTTGATTACATTTTGAGATTGAATTTAGACAAACGTTACATTGATGTTCGATATGGAAGTATGAAAATACCGATTTTAACTTCGGTTATTATGTCGTATTCAAGTGACCTTGAACTTATCGAAAAAATTCTGAAAATCGGATGTGACGTAAATCTTGGTGATTTTGAATCAAATACACCATTAATGCATGCTTCTGGGAGACACTGTTTGAACCTTGTAAAACTTTTAATCGATTATGGTGCAGATGTGAATGCTTGCAATAATAAGGGTAAAAACGCTGGCAATTGTTGCTTAGAATTCAATGACAACTCTTGCAATTACCATAATAATTGCGAAGAATGCTGTAATGATGACTCGAACGAAACTAATCACAGCAACCGAAAAATGTGTGTTTTGAAGTTGTTAATGGATCGCGGTATGACCTTAGATAATGAATACAATTTGCTTCTTTCCGCTTTTGATGTTACTGATGTGGAATGCATTAAATTTTTATTAGAAACTGATATCGAGAAAGATTTCATCGGTTATTTAGATCAAAATATTCTTCATTTAGCCGCTGAAACTCGATTACCATGGCATGTTTATCTAATTTTATTGGGAAAAGTTAAAAACATTAATCAAAAGAGCAAGTCAGGACACACGCCATTGAGCATGGCTGCCGGTGACCTGAATATCAATTTGGTTCAACTTTTATTAGATAAGGGATGTGACGTCAACTCCATGGATAATGATGGCGGAAGTGCTCTCTTAAAGATAGTTAGGAGAAATCATGTTGACTTGACAAGAGCAATATTAAAAGCGGGGGCAAGACCCGAGGTACTATTGAAAAATCGCTTATCATGGCTGGGGCTTAATGATTGTTTGACGCTGGTACTGGAAAATGGTGGTGATGTTTTGTTAGATATTCCAGATGGTTGTGGTAATCAAATCATAGCCCGCTCCCTACACAACTGTCAAATCGAAGGAGGTGACTGGACGGTTCAAAATATACTGACATATAATCCTTCTCTTAATAATCTCTTTCTTAAAGGTATTGACCCACCACCCATCTTTAGAGATGAAGATTATTTTGATATTTTGGATCTCCTATATCAAAGTGGTGCTCCAAAAAGCGAACTCGTGAAAAACTCGAGTGACGATGTGGTTGAATTGGTTGAACAAAGAATTGGTGACTATACCTTAATGTCGCGGTGTAGAAGAATAATACGACAGAAATTAGGACTTGGAATAAAGGAGAAAGTGAAAAAGCTTTCATTACCAGAACCTTTAAGAGATTTTTTACTATTAAAAGATATCATACATGAATGTTATTTTCAACTTGAATAGAACTTTCTGAAGATAAAAACATTTTACAATATTCAAGATAGTTTAGATATTTGATTTATATAGTCTGTAATATAAATTGTATACCTAATAATTACATGGTTCTGGCTTCTTTATGCAGTTGTACAAGAAAATGCTTTTGATATGATATAAAATGTACATTATGCTTACCTGTATACCGTCTGCTTTTTGAGGCCCCCGTTTTCTGCCCCTCCCCCCCCCCTTAAATTCTTTTTTTTTTATTCCGGGAGTTTAATTCTCAAAATTTTCTAAGCAGCATACCGCAGGCCCTATACAAATAATCTTGAACCTTAAATTCGCTGGGAATTTGGTGGTGGTCCCACAGCTCCAATACAAATAAATCTTAAATCCGTCAGGAAACGTCAGAAAAATGCGTTTCCGGGTATTAAATTCTCTAAAATTTTCTAGAGGAGGTCGCCAGTCTTCCAATGGGCGTCCTCTGAAGCAATAAAGCTAGCAATTACTCTATAGACAGGACTGTGGCTGGCTACGGGCCAAAATTTGCTTATAGAAGCTATCCCCGATTCTAGAAAATGTCTTTACAATCACTTGAATATTTTTTATCAATTCTGATTGAAAATTTGCTTATAGAAGCTATCCCCGATTCTAGAAAATGTCTTTACAATCACTTGAATATTTTTTTATCTATAAAAAGAAAAAAACAAACCTTCAATGACAATGTATTATGTAGATCGAGCTGATGTTAGGTTAGCTGTTGTCTCCCATGTATAGCGATGTACATAACGCGAAGTTCCACGTCGTTCAAGAAAAGAAGGTAGGCTAAGGGAAGGGCTCTGACATGAAAAATTTAATTTCATAACAGATATTAATAGATAAATTAGATATTTGCATTTCGTAGGGCACATATTCAGGTAAATGTAGAACACAATACTAGGGGTTACATTTTTACGGTACGTCCCTTTTTTTTAAAAAAGGGATTGTAATTGTGCGGAGTTTTTCTAAATTTGTATTGGGGACACTAAATAAAATCACCAATTTGCGCCATACCAAGTTTCAGTCAGTCGTCGATCTGTGGTTCCTGCAAATCTACTAAAACTGTGGGCTATAGGCCTAAGCGGTTTATGACACCACTGTCGCACAGAGCCATCTGTGATAGGGCTACAAATAAAAGTTTCGTGATAAGTGACGTCATCAAACACGAGTTTTAGTGGAATTGCAGGAATCACAGACGTCTGATTGAAAATATTAAGGGTGCATATTGATGCTGTCAAGTCTCTCTGATATGATGATTTTTCAGAAGGCTTTTGATAGGCTCGAACTTAAGTGACATATGCCATAGTTAAAATTAGGCCCTATAGACACAGGTTTTTAGTGACTTACCTGTCTGGATAGTTGTCCGTACAATACTAATTCATTCCATCTCATCTGCAGGAAATCGGAAATCTTGCTCGTTTACAGACGACAACGTATCCCAGTAAGCCTCGTTTTGAAGTAGCCTAAGTGGGCGGAGTTATAAAACGTTTTTATAAAGAAATATTATACAAACAACTATAATTTTTTCCCAATCATTAGATTGCCTACTTTCTATTCATATAAGCTCCCGGTATGTAGGCCTACATGTTTTAGCCATCCAATTATCAGTAGAGGCACCTCACTCCTGGAAATGGGTACAAAAGGTGAACAGACCTGTGTAGTGGGCAACAACTTTGCCTACTTGTCGGCGCTAAGATTCAAGAACAAATCTGAAAAAATATAATTTCTTGATGCATTCCGTCACATTTTTTGAAGGAAATGTCACGAAATTGCATAGCTCGAATTAGGCGGGGTACAGGCCACGCAATTTTCTGGGGGTGTTAACCTCCACCACCTCCTGTCGTCTGTAGGCTACCCCCTGGCTCTAACACCAATAGGTTACAAATAAATGGATATAAGCTGGCCCATTTTAAACATAACCTTAACACAGTTAATATTATTTATAAAAATATTTATTCAAAACTGTAATGCAGCTGAAGCTTAATAGAAGAAACAAAAAGTAGTGTATAAAAACAATTAATATTTTGATGTTAGCTTAGTCAATGTTAACAAATAAAACAAATAATTATTAAAAGAAAAGAGATGTTGAAATAATGAAAAAAAAAACAGGATAATAACAATTATATTATGAATTGAAGGCTTTAGGCATCTCTCACAAAGTCAATCTATTACAAACTCAGTCTAATACCTTGACATCATAAGACACTTTTCTTGTATAAGTTTATAATTGAAGCCATTGGATTGAAGTAATAGTGAAAAAAAGCAAAATATGATCTCGACTAGTAATTACATGCACAGCTTTACTGTTTACATTCTTTCTGCCAAGAGCATTGATTGGCTGTATGTATACTAGCAGATAAGCCAATGAAATACAAACTTCTGTGACACAAGAAAAGTATCAGAGTTGGTAATAGCTTAATCAAACTTAGGTCTAATTATAATTAGACTGGTGTATGACACTGCTATCGAAAGCAGTTGGGTAATATTTTAAAGCTAGATACATAATTAAGCTTATCATATAAAAGAACAGTAAGAACATTTTTTGTTTCAAAATACCAGGCCTTGTCTAATTTAAAATAATTTAATATGTGCTTCTGTGCTTATTAAGGTTAAGAAAATGCTATATGAAAACAGCAATATAAATCACTAAAAAAATAACTTAAGAAATATCCTTAAAACTTTGCAGAGTCAAAACAAAAAATGATTTTCAAAATATAGGGAAAAGAAAGAAAATAAAACAAGTAATAACTGCAATAGAGACAGAAAAAGTAATACAATTATGCCTCTGCACCATTTTGAATGATAATATTAGTATCTTTGGATATTAGTTTAGGTTCCTTTGTGGATGTTTCTCCATTAACATTAGTTTCCTGTTCACCATTTGGATTCAAAGGTTCATCCGATCCTGCTGAATTTTCAGCCTCTTTATCCAAATTGGAATCAAAGGTAACATAAACACCACGCTTCGGGACTATAACTTCAGCATCTAGAGGATATCTTCCTACTAGTTCTGTACTGGTGGACTGAGAACGTGTTCTGGGATGATGGTGATGATGATGATGGTGGTGGTGATGATGATGGGAATGAGGTCTGGAATGTATTTGAGGTTCATAAACTTCAGTTAGTGGTTCAAGTTCATGGATTTCACTAATGGTATGATTAGGATAGCTAGTGCTGGAACTAGACAAAGTTGATTCAGAAAAAGCATACACAGTTTTATCTACATGTTTTCGTCTGCTAGGTGAGCAGCAGTCAGATGATGGCCAATGAAATTGTCCAAAGCCACCTTGTGGTCCCAGAGATCTTAGAAGTGATTGAAAGAAAAATGTAGAATAAACCCAGCCAATTGATATAATCAACATTAGAAATATTCCAAATTTTTGATAGGCCAAGACTGTTGAAGGCATCATCAATGCTCCTGCGAGGAATGTTGTGAAAGCTGCCATAGCAACAGCACTTCCCATCCGACCAATTGAACAAGCCACACGCATTTCACGATCTAGATCTGGAGAAAGGCGGTAAGCTACACCATAATGTAAAGTAAAATCTATTGACATCCCGATAGCAACTGTTATTATCACTGATTCCAAAATATTCAGTTCCCAACCTAAAAGCACCAAGGTTGCCACAGTAACAGAAATGATGCAAGCTATACACAAAATCGCATATATTGTAATGAGAACATTTAGTGTGGTAAAAAAGGCCACAATAGCAGCAACTGCTAGCGAGACACCCATAGCCAGAGGAGTTCCTGTAGTCAGACTCTTTTGCAGATCATAAAATCCAAGGTCACTTATCAACCAACCGTTCCGCATTTCAGCTGGTGCCTGAACCATTTGCTCAGTTACCCATTGGTTAATTTTACGATAAAATTCACTCAATCTTTCATATGATTGGCTGTAGGGTTCGTTACTGAGAAACTCAATGAAGAAGGCACAAATTTGTCCATTAGAAAATCTTGGTCCAGGTGAATTGAAAGAGTAATGTAAACCTGGTGTTTTTTGTAAGGCTGGTATATACCGTGCTAGACATTTATTAAATATCGCTTTACTATAGGGAAACTTGGTCGTGTTACAACAAGGAGTATTATCGGTGGTTACCACATGACAAGGTTGTTGCATGTATTGATACACAAAATTCTCCAAAAAGCAATTGGTTAACTGAATTTTTGGTGTTTTGAGGTAAAAACTGGAACGTCGCAATCTTTGACAAAACTCAAGTATCCATATTTGAGCATGTTCGGTGGTCAAATCAAAAGAATTATCAAACACGATAGTTCCTCTTTCATTTGGATTTAGAGGATCACCATTATCTATAGCATGTATTCCCCAAATCACAGTAATTGGTAACAAAGGAATATCACCTTTATTTTTTTCAAATCCAAACAAATCTCCTAATTCAAAGTCATATTTTTCCAACAAATGATCTGATGAAAACACTTGAAATTTTTTGGAAGTTGGAATTTTTAATTTTGGGTAATAAAAAATCACAATTATGCCACATATTCCTAAGCTTCCTAAGAGTATTTGCCACAAATAACGAAAGCGAATTACAAGACATGGTAAAATTTTCTCAAAAAATAGTCTGGACCAATTTTGAATGAGGTAATATAGTTTATAAGGAATATTACAGATATAATAGCACACTTGAAGTCTGCCAGAATAAAAATCGGGACTATGACAAACACAGAAATTGCACCATTTTTCATATGCCATAATACTGGCTGGAATCCAAGTTATTGTCAAGACGAAATTGCACAATATTGCAGTCCCAGCATAAATACTAAAACATTGGATGGCAGTAATGTTGCTGATACAGTTTGAAAAGAAGGCAGCCGCAGTTGTCAGACTAGTAACTAACATTGATAAAGTTGCATGTCTTAACGTGTCACTGACAATTTTTTCTAAAGTTCCGATATTTTTTTCAGATTTGGCTAACATCCACACTTTACAATAAATAAACATATCATCTGCTCCAATTCCTATCATTATGATAACAGTCACCATGTTCATATAAGGGAAAAATTTAATCTCAAAGACAAACATGTATAGAAAATAGGCCACTTCTAATGACCAGAACATGGCTAGAAAGGTCATGACAGTAATAAATATTGACGATGAATAAAGCCACATTAAGATGAAAATTACTATGCCTGCTATGGACAGCCATATTGTATCTGTAAGTAGACACTGTTCAAAAAGCAATCGTTTGATTCCAAACTCAGCACCAACTAATTGAATACTATGAAAACGTCTGGGTAATGTTTCTATATAATTATATAAATTTAACGATACAGAGCTGCCAGCTAAGGGTAAGAAGGTCATAGTATATGTTAAAAATAATGGTTTATTTGGTTGATTAGCAAAACTTGAGTCGGTTAAATAATGTAATATATGATATACTGCGTTATATTGAGTACAACGCTGTGGAATTTCTGAACATTGTTGAATGGGACTATCACTCGCGAAATACCACGATTCGGGAGAAAAATCACAGTTTGGTCCTAAAGTGTAGTTATGATAAAAAGCAGCACAGGTTTCTAAAGTCACCAACACATAATCCAAATCCTGTTGAGTAAGATCCATACAGTGTGATTTATTTGATAGGAGAGCGACGTAATTTCCTAATGACCAAGTACGACAACACTTCCTACGAGTTGATTTGATACAATTACTATTAAAATCAGGTTGGGAATGAAGCCAAGAATTTTCAAGGTGACACAAATTTTGTAAATGTTCTATAGTAAACAACGAACTTCCATCTACAGATTTAAAAACCATCCGAGCATAGATTTTATCTGAAAAACATAAAACAACCATTGATAAGTACCAGTAACCCTAAAACTCTGAACAAAATGCAACTGGGGTTGGAATGCCAACATGACCTGGTATGATTCCAATTTTAGCAATTTTCTGAACTTGAAGTGTGTATGTGCTGGTTTATTCGAAATATATCTTGAAATATCTAGGCTATATTACATTTTCAAACAGAAAAAACTGAAAATCAAATTTCTGAAAAAACCAAGAATGATTTTTAGACTAATTACAGGAATTGACAAATCTGTTATTAAAAGGAGACACAATTTCATTTTGCTATATATTCAAACTTCTATGTCACCATTTACAAAATTTCTCAAAAAAAGAATTCCATGAAAATATTGTAAGTGTTGAATTTGTCTATGTGAATTTTTAGAATTTTTTTTTTTTAGAGACTGGGGATGGATGTGTTTGTCAGAAATATTATAACTTGATGGCAGTCTTAGCTCTAGAGTAGAGCTCATAATATGAGCTTTTTGTCTGATAAGTTTCAGCTCAATGTCCAAAATTACAACCCACCTGGAACTCCACAAAAGAAAGCTTCATCAATATCTTCAACAAAAGTAGAATTTTTGGATGGACGAATTTTCTTCTTTCTATTTCTTTCCTTTTTTCTGTTTCTTTTTTGTGTTTGAATTCTGATTCGGTCCATAATATCTGCATTGTATTGCCGTATAAATGGTAAGAGAGTAACTTTACTACCAGCATTATTGACCAAATTATTATAAGCTATCATACGCTCACTGATTTCTGTCTGTCTTGGTTCAAATCCCTGAAAAATAGGTAAAAAGTCAGTTAACTAATAAATAAGAAAAAAATTCAGAGGCTTTGAAAGTTGGAAACCAAAAGTGCTCTGCAAAAAATTGGGCTAATGAAGACAGACAATGTTATGCAGTGTGTAATAAGGGAAGTTTTTACAAAGAAACAGAATTAGGCTTCCCTTATCGATCACTTAGGGATCTAGCACAAGCGACACCAATTAATTATCTTATTCTAATTATCTAACATTCTTGTCAGCCCCCCCTCTGACCTGTGTAATTCACAAGAGGAAATCAGGTTGAAATATCAAAGTATTATCTCGATCTATGCCAGGATCCATTCCTGATCCTTCAAGTTAGAAATCAAACAATCCAACTCATAGAGCCACTGTTGTCATTTTTATACTGGTAACTTGTGAACCATTCCACATAGATATAGATTTTCAAAAAACAAAAAACATATTGACAGAATGGAAAATCAGGTCTACAAATCGAATATGTTCAGATCATTTTTATCCACCTTAATTATTGCCCTGGCAGTCCATCAGTTCCCATTTTGCTCGAGCTCACTCTACAGGCTACAATTCTTTACAGATTATTTTGATTTTGATTTTGTTTGTCAATGTCATTACGAAGATGATCACTATCGATTTTTGTGATGATCTGATAATTCGGGTCCTCTTCAAGCAACAATTCTTTATGTGATTTTTATGTGCTCACACGTAGTATGGAAGCGTTCGTCCGTTCACACTTGGCTTATGCTCAAACATTGATTTGTACTTGCAATCAAAGCTGCTCGCGGGCGTATGTCACCTTGCTTAGCAAGACTATCATTTTTATTAATATTATCACTTAGCACCTATTACAGATAGTTTGATAAGAATATCAGAAAGCTTTACATATTCATAACCTCACAGTACCTGAAACATCTTCACATTGAGATTTAAGACATTTCAAAGACATAATTAGAACTTTCTGAAGATATTAAAGAGAAATATATACATTAACTGGCAGGCATGAATACATAGAATTGAGCCAATTCCACAGAAAGTAGGTAATAGACGATATCTTGCTTAAAGCATCTTCTTCCATGAAAATTCTAGATCTGACATAAAATTCCTGTCTTTTGATATCTAAAATGACATGAAAGTCTTTAAAAATAATTACAAAGATCTTACGAGCCAAAAATAAATGGCCTAGATATTGTAGTTCTTGAAGTCAGTGTGTCAAGAGACGTAGTCAATTATTGCTATGGGAACATACAAGTTCTATGGAACCTGATGGTATAATTAGGATATTAGAGAAAGCTGTCAAATTACAGGTCTTCTACACTGAAACATCACAAATCTAGTCTGACATTATTTTAATGAAACTAGGCCAAATCTTGTTGGCTCTGTCTCTACAATCTGATAGTTACTATTACCAGAAGGGAGTCAGAATAAAAATACAATCTTATTTATGCATTGAAATGATTGTAGAGAGATTTTCTAAATTTGTTTATTTATGTGTGTCGAGGACACTGTTATCATCAATTTGCACCATTCCAATTTTCAATCAAACATATGTGGTTCCTGAGATTCCATTAAAAGTAAGTGTTACATGACATCACTCGGCCAGTGCTTACATCACCAAATACTAAATGCAAAATATGCTTGTATCAAATAAGACCTTTGCAATCAGTGATGTCACAAAACACTTAGTTTTAGCAGGAACACAGATGTCTGATTGAAAATTGGAAAGGTGCAAATTGATGATTTCAGTGTCCCAGATATGCATAAAAATTACAATCTCTTTAAGCTGCAAATTTTTCCAAATACATGTAGGTATATATAAGGACACCTTCACAATATCAAACTATTACAAGCTTTGTCTTATACCTTGACATTATTTGCAACCTCTCTAGTATTATGGAATGCAGCAATTTGAATTGATTGTACACCAGCAAATACAGCCAATTGATCCCTCGACAGACAGACTGTAAAAACTATGGCTTAATGTTATCAGAGATAGTGAAATTGATGTCAGATGCTGCAGTGGGACAGGGAAACCCTCTAAAATTATATGGGGAAAGAATCACTTATGAGTGTCCCTTGATAATTCTCCTTTCTCACATTTTTGTTTTACAAGAACTCAAACTGTTATGTTGAATGACATATTTTGATCTAAAGGCATAAGTTCACCATTCGTTTGACCAATCATACCTTAGTCTCAGAAACAGGTAATTTTTTACTAAGCAAATCAGAAATTGTGTTCACAGATCACCATCAAAATTTTAGCCTTCAAATTCATTTATGTCCAGAATTACAATAATAAAATATTTGCACTATTTAAATATATCATTTGTACAGTGAAATAGAAATATTAAAACAGAACTTACAAAAACATGTTGTTGTAACTCAGAGTAACAAAAAAATGTTTTTTTTTAAGTTGTTTTAATATTTCTGTGTCCAAAATTATCCCTGATTTACTGATAATTATTTTCACTAATAATGAAAACAATTAGACCTAATTTAGTCTAGTCATTTAGTACAGAAATGGAAAGAATGATATAAGGATTTACCCTTTGAACCCTGAGTGTAAATAAGATATAACATCCTATACCTTGAACTCCAAGTAATAAAAGTAAAAGTGTATGACGTTATCGTTGTATGATGTCACTTAGCAACGGCCGGTATACCTGCTGCTCGGGTATATATTGCTTAGCATGTGGCCGTTAGGTTTGCAAGGGTTAATAATTTAATAAGAATTTTGATGAATTATAAAAAATTCAGATTACACTCAAAAAAGGCAGTGAAATAGCTCAGTCAGGAGCCAGTTGTAATATCGTCTTCTAGGTGATAACGTGCAATAGGTACAAGCCAATAAAAATTCTGCAGTCACAGCCAGTGTTTCTGGAAGTCAGTGCAGTGCATCTTTCACTCCTGATATCCATAAAACAAATAAATCTATGTAATTAGATCCTTGATAAAAACTAATTTCACAATGATTTCTTACATTCACTAAAGGCATGAAAGACACTGTAAAATCAATGAGACTATTTGAAATATGGCATGATTTTGTTGACTTGAATATTATGTTCTATATTGTGTAGGTGGGTTCAATAATCTTCAGTGAGATAATCCGAAACATCTGCCTCTGATAGATATTTTGACAGTTATGAAGTATTGCCAGGAAAACCAGGCCTTGTTTTATGTGGATTTTCTTTTTCTCCAAAGATGTATTTTTTTAACATAATATTAAATAACTTTTACAATGAATGTAAATTAGTGTAAAGCATTACTGTCACTTTTGTTTTGTAAGTATCATGTGACTCTGTGTCCTTTGAACTTTGGCTGTGCACACAGTTTTAAATGGCCGACAAGTGTTCACTTTCGTTAAAAAATATTGATAGAATCATATGGATTATAACGGCATGTCTGAACTACAAAAGTTTCCATCTTTCCGAATATATTTGGGCTTGGTGGATCCGATTTAAAAAGATGTGTTTTTAAACCTTTGGAGGTGCAGAAAAGCCGTATGATACAGGGCCTAGTTTTTCTGTCTCTACATCAGCCAACAAACTTGTTATCAGTGAATTAAAATTTTTACTATTATAGTATTGTTCTATTATACAATATGTTACTAGAATCATCCTTGACTCAATTAATCTTTGAAATTTATCATTCATTCATAAGCTGCTAATTTCCACAAATGTATGAAATTAACACAGTTATGTGGTTTTCAACCTGTTTTACATGTGTTCCCAAAATATATTTTGCATAAAAATGATGTCCGTACATATCAAGTGGAACAAGGATTGGATATCAGGCAAGGTAATAACAATGGTAGACATGGTTGTGTATAGTGTATAGTTATTTGAGACATTGTATAATATAGTTGGAGATTTTTTTCATAGCCTGTGACACATCAATGTCCCCAAAGGAAAAGTGGAAATGTACTGTCACAGTGAGATGTCCCTGTGGTTGAAAACCTATGCTTTAGCAGCAAATACAACTTGATTTTAGCCAATGTTTTACATTTCAGAATGATAAACTAACAACTTCTTGCCTTTTTTATCAAATACTGTTGCCTAGTGTTTGCTAGCCACTTTTAATGTATTCTCAAAACACCACTAATGTTTTGTCAAAACAAACACAAATTCTAACTTGTCCAAGATCTTGGTTATAATACTTTTTAATAAAATCTGACAACTTTGGCCTCTAACATGCATTCACAAACCAATACTTGACAGACGGACGAAGGGACAGAGATGGTAGCAATATGCATCCTCATTAAAATGTATTAAAATACCTACTGCTAATGGATCATTAAAGTTGAGATGTCCTCCCGATGTTATTGATACCACTAAACATGTTCCAACCACCACCAACACAACAACCAACACAATGTATGGATAGTGGGCCAAGATACGAGCATAGCTGAAAATATAAAAGATGAAAACATTTAAATAGTGATACATTGAACAGACAACTCATACCGATTCTATTTATAAAGGTTCAGATACGAGCATAGCTGAAAATATAAAAGATGAAAGCATAGTTGTGCCAGACTCAATACCCAACCTATGCTGATTGATAAGATAACCTGTGCCAATTCAATATATAAAGGATAAAATACAAGCGGAAAATATAAAAGATGTCTGTGGTTCTTGCAATTCCACTTAAACAAAGTGTATTATGATATCATTCTTGCAGCAGCTGCTCATAAGTTGTAAGGCCCTGGCTATGAGCTGGAACAGTGCAAATCAATGCTATCAGTGTTTCCAATACAGATGCCAGCCTGAATTTCTCTTCACAGAGACGGGTGTGGCGCTAGGCTATGCTTACACTTCTAGACACCTGATACCACTTTTCGTTATTAAATACTTCCACATGTGAAAAGTTCATAAGCTTCGGGTTTTCGTTTTGCGCTTTAGACAGTTAGAAATGGTTTATTTATTGTAAAAGTGATTCTTATTGGCAGGAGAGTGGCACATGATTGTCTACAATGAATAACTTGACATGTCACCAATACTTGACCTTGGTTTAAATCTCCCTAGATTACGAACGAGACCAACAAAACAATTAATAACCAAACAAAATTGTTATCTAATTTTAAATAAATTGATGTTACTCAGACTGAAGAATTTGTATTCAGAAATGAAAGGCCACCTATTACCTCTCTCCCCTTTCCCTTATTTTGAAAGATTGAATTAAATATAGGACATTAGGAAGTAAAATATATACAGAAACTACCAGATGTTTATTGAAAAGATAACTATAGATATTCAGATTAACTGTTAGATCAGGGAGTGTTTATTGATAGACCATATATCTTTAACTTAAAGTGGTCAATTTTAGATACACAGATGGTTTGGCCTATATGAAACTAGGCATGGTTCTTACATGAAAATAACATACTTGAACGTAGTTAAACAAAGTCGTCCAAATCAAAAGTAGGGCCTATACCAATTGTCATTCAAAGCTCCAACCTCAATCAAGTAGGCAACATTTTAAAGTTTTCCACATGTCTATAGATGTTCTAATGACTTGAAAAAATACCGGTTTGTCTCACATGTCCATAATTAATTCATAATTAGCTAAATTAGAAGAGAAATACCAGCAGAATTCCAATGAGTGACCGATCAAGAAAGGTCAAAAAGGTTTTTTTTGTTTATCCAGACTGTACATACATGGAGTTTTATGATTGGTTATTATATGCAATAATAATATAATGATATGATAATTCATTCAAAACACCAATTAAACCTATCTTTAAATGACAATACCTAATTCTACCTAACTATTTAATGAGAAATTGAGACAATCAAAAGGGACTTTAGAGATCAACAAAAGACAGTCTACACACATTTAGATAAGTATGGTAATTTGTAAAACCTAATGAAATATGGTGATTATGAACCTACTTGACCTGTATTATATCATTCGAATATGTCATTTTGTAATAAATCATAGACAAAAGTTGAAAAATGGGACAAATATATGAAATATTGGAATAACTCATGATGCCAAATAGCCAAAAGTAGAGTTGCAGTTTTCTATGTAAAATGGCACTTAAATTTCAACTTGATCTTTAAGGAACACACCTATTTTAATAATAGGTCAATGTCAAAAAATTTGTCTGACTAGTAGAAAACAACACTGTTTTATTTCTTTTAAGTTGGGTAAATCTCCATTACTAAATTACAAAATGTTAGTCGTTAAAGGGATTGTAAAGAGGTTTTCTTAATTTTTCTATGTCTATCAGAGACAAATAGCATCAATTTGCACCATTTCAATTTTCCTGCAATTCTGCAAAGGAAGGTATTTGATGACATCACTTACCGCAAAAATATGCTTCGCGATTAGTGACATCATGTGACACATGGTACAAATTGATTCCATCAGTATCCCCCGAAAGACATAAATTTAAAAAATAAATGCAATTTCCTGAGCTTTCTTCGGATCCTAGCTCAAACAGTCACGACATGAACCCCATAAAACTCATTTCTATGTTATTGCCCATGAATAGAGATCAGATTGCAAATGATTATATTTCAAAGATGGAAAATGAAATCAATAAATTAGTTGTAATAAGTGCTCCTCGACAGTAAATTCATTGGTCAAAGGGACAGGTTTACTATCTGTTTGACCAATCGTATCTTAGTCACAGAAACAGGAATCTATCAGATAAGCTAATCAGTAATAGTGTTCACAGTTCAACGCAAAAATTTGAGCTTTTAAATCCATGTGTGTCCAGAATTATCTGCGATTGAAAGTTAAAATGCTGATCTGTTTTTCTCAAGATTCTGGTCATATGAAGAAAAGACTTAGAAATGAGAAATGACACACGAGTATCATATTAGTGTGTGTATAATTTGCAGACTTTTACCCCAAAAAGGACCCTATATAGCAAGGTTCTAAATACAGTGAGATATATTATGATTATTTTACCCCTCGAAAACTTGAGGATTCTCTCAACAACATTCATGATAATATTATTTATTTATATAACATCCATTTAATGGCTGAATAAGATTATTATGTAGATCAAGGGTATAGATTGCACCTCAATGTGTAAGTCATCTTCAAAATCCAATGTTCACCAAAGCAGTCAATTCTTTATTCAGAGGGAATAGAAATAACAAACGTTCATATTTACCAAATATATCACAAATAACAAATGTTCATATTTACTACATATATCACAAATAACAAACGTTCATATTTACTAAATATATCACAAATAACAAACGTTCATATTCACTAAGTATATCACAAATAACAAATGTTCATATTTACTAAGTATATCACAAATAACAAACGTTCATATTCACTAAGTATATCACAAATAACAAATGTTCATATTTACTAAATATATCACAAATAACAAACGTTCATATTTACTAAGTATATCACATCAACCTTATCACCATTTAGCCTCAGAAGTTATCATAACAAATTATGTTGAATCTTTTTAAAAGAATGCAATCAACTGCATCAAGTAAGGATTGCCTATCATTGCTTTACAATATTATTCAACTGATGAACAACCTAACTCTCTACCAAGATAAATCTATTATCCTTTTGACATATATAAAAATATATTTTAAAGCTATAACGTTTTTTTCTTAAATTTTCAATCAGAAACTCAAATATAAAAGTAATTTTAGAAATTCATTTTAAATCTTGTTGAAAACAAAGTTTGATATTTGTCACCGACTTTTCCTCGTTGGCGATTATCATCTTCGTGCGTCTGCACTCACAACTAGACAAGACTCCTCAACACTTCATTATCCAATCAGATTCATTCTCATTTCAATTGCGCCTAATAATCATGTGATTTTTTTTGATAAAGCAGAAAATGAACAACTAAAGAATTTCTGTGTGTTCCAACAGCCAGTCGGTGAAACTGAGAGACAAAACTCGTAGTCTGCGATAAAATTCAGTGACAAAAAACGTTCATGTGCCGTCACATTCAAAGTCATTATCACTCAAAGACTGTTGTCATCATTTAATACTGTAAAATTCATTATTAAATTTCCTCTCAGAGAGCCTTGATTAGAACAATGATTATTGTGAAATAACATCCTATTATATGTAAATCATTCTATATCGTAATGAAGAGCTAGAAATAAAGGTAATAATGTTATACATTTGAAAAGCTGACAGTTTATGAAAAATTGCTAACCTAATTAATTTTTTAAAACAAGGATTACACCATCTGCATGGATAGAAAAACCAAAATGTTTTGTTGATTGCTAGGAGAAAGAATTTAGCAGACACCCACTTACCCTTCAATTTGTATCAGTCTGTAAAGCACAAAAAAGCATAAAAACCCACATGCTTTGTTAATTTTGCTTTATTAATGCAAGTCAGATATTTCTCTACAGCTTTTGATTTTTCACATTCACTGAACCACTTAAAGGGATTGTACAGAGGTTTTGTAAAAAGTTTAACCACATAAGGGACACTGATAGCAAATATCTACAGCAGCTTTTGCGATAGTAACATCATAAGACGCTAGCTTTTAGTAGAATTGCAAGAACCACAGACGTTTGATTGAAAATTGGAATGGTTCAAATCGATGAAATCAGTCTCCCTAATACACATAAATTATTTAGAAACCTCTTTACGATCCCTTTAATATCTATTTTCATCTGACAAGCCTTTTTTAATAATAGTATGGGTCAATAGATCTTCTGATATTTTCTAATTTATTTATATAAAGTAAACAATAACAATGTCCCAGGATTTAACACGGTTACATGATCATAAAAAATATTTCATTACATCTTATATAACAAGTATTTATCCTAATAAAATTGATTTAAAGGCGGTTTTCTTATTTGTGTATGTAAATCATGGACTAATAAAGAGGCTATTAAAAATTTTCATTCTCGTATCAAAAATGTCGTAGAGTATACTAGTACCTAAAAAATAGTTCAAAAGTATGCTAATTATATCTATGTATCGGCTTGATCAAACTGAATTTATTTTCAAAGAGTAAATTAAAAATGGAGAGTACTAATTGTTAATTAAGCATTGTGACCTAATTTTGGTGTTTGACTTTAATAATGGCTTGATATTATCAGTTGAAACCTTTAAAATATGTAGGAGACTTTATCTTTAAATATTATTTCACTTTAATCCGTACAGAAGTTTTTTTAAAAAATAATTTTGTCTTTTTCAATAGAAAATCAAATAGACAATTTATTTTTTGACTTCAGGTCTCAAATTTGTGAAAAATATTACAGTATGGCAATTCATGGGTAGAAGCAAATGAACTATTTATATCAATCATTAAGTATTTTTATAATGAAAGTGGTGTCAGGTGTCTAGCAGAGTAAGCATAACACCGTACAAAAATATGATTTTCTTTTACAAGACCTTGACAGAAGAAGCTTACTGTTATTATGGTTAAACAGAAGTCAGAGAGAAG